TGTTTTAACCGAAGGGGTTCCTCGGAGAAATTCTGGGGACAAGGTTGGGGGTAAAAATCTCCTAATTAAACAACACAACTTTTACCTATTTTATACATAAATAAAAGCTTGCTCCTAGGATTAGGTCTGAACAGAATTTGGCAGTTTCAAAAAGAAAAAATCGTTGCTCTATCACGAATGAAAATGAACACATGAACTATTAGCAAATAGGGTAAAACAGCAGAGGACACTGGGGCAATCAGCCAGTTTTTCGCCTGAACCCTCGAGAGAACCTGACCTCCTCCGCTACCAGTCGGTCGCCCCCCGAAAACTCGCAGATGCACTTTGCGGCGTGTGACGAGCACGCGATACCCCTGGTCTCACAAAACCGGCTCCCAAGCCCTTGACGGCTTCCTCCAGGTTGCGTCCCTGGGCCCGGTTAGGAAGCAGGGAGAGAGCAGCCAGTCCACCAAGGAATGAACGCTCTCAGCACCGTAATTCCCCTGCCCTAGTTTTCTTTTTCAAACAGCCTTAAAAAGCACATCATCTTGGAGCTGGGCACAGCAGCTTGAGCCTGGAATCCCGGGTACTCGGGAGGCTGTGGCAGGAGGATGGCTCGAGGCCAGGGGCTTGAAACAACCTGGGCAGCACAGCAAGACCCCCATCTCCACTTTAAAAAAAAGAAAGAGAAATCACCCAAAAGGCAGATTACTTGTAAAGCATGTTTTAAATCACCACCACTTCAATCAGTAAGAGCCCTTCGCGCTCAATTCTTCCCTCAAACTTGCCTCTATTCTCCAGTCTCTGTGGGGCCAGGCCTCCCGAAGCGGTTCGGGAGCCTTACCACGAACGCACACCAACGCGGCGCTTACCAGAAGTCTTTCCCGCAGTCAATGCACGAAAGGCAGTCACAGCTTCTGCAAACAGACACGTGTTTTTCCACTTGGATTTTCTTCACCGATTCACCACACGCATTGCACGTAAAAAACACCATTTTTAGCTAACTGGTTAAACAGTCTCTATTCAAGACGGGTTTTAAGCTTGTCCTAAAAAAGAAAAGAAAGGTCTGTTAGTGTAAACTAAACTTCCAATCCCACAGTCATACAGCCAACTTTTCAGCCCTAATTTCACATAAAAGTATCAGAATTAAAACTGCTGAGCAATCAACATAAGACTCTACCAACCATGTACGCAAAACTACCACGAACAAGGACAGTGGCCAACATTTGCTGAGGGCCGCTCACCCTGTGCCCGGCACTATTCTACATGCTTCACATATCTTACCGTATTTCATCCTATTAGCCCTATGAGGGAAGAACTCTTACTGCACAAAACTTGTATGAGGTAATGAGGCACAAAGAGATTACGTAGCCTGCCCAACGGCACACGGCAGCAGAACCAGGAATTAAACCTGGCAGATTAGCTGCAGAGATGAAGAACTTTGGGGGCATTACATGCTATATCGTACTTTGCCTAAAAACTTTAAGCTCTTGTTCTCTCAATATATATATGTATATAATATTTATAACATATTTTAAAAGGCAACAAAACTCACAGAAGGAATTGCAACTTAGAGGCGTACGCTGCAAACTATTTCGGGTCCCTAATACAGCAAGACCACAGTGAGGGAAAAATTGAGGGGAGTTCAGAAAGTGGAAAAGCGGCCATTCTCCGCAAGCACGGGAATATTGACAGGCAGGACTGTGTCCACTGGCGTCAAACACAAGGCAACCCCTCCTTCATGCGGCTCCTCGTTAGATCGATCAGAGAAATGGAGCCACTTCCAGGGGTCTCAGATGTTGGGTGCTGAAAGTAGCACTAGGGGAGCTCACAAACCCGGGTGTCCCAGGCGCTGCCCCAACAGGAGGGTGTGTCTGCACGTACACATAACCGCCATTTAAAGACTTCAGGCAGATGCCCTTGTGTTCACCAAAATACAAATCAAAGAGTGTGACAGAAGTAACACTTACATGATTTCTTAATCACAAGATTCTAAAAGAGCACTGTCATTTCACATTACAAATACGTTTCATGGGCCATTCGCCTTACTAGAGTCTGGTGTGGCCATGAGCCCTTTGCGCTGTGGCTGCCACCATGTTTCCTGGCTTTGGCCCCCTTCCCCACCTTGGGGAGGTGAATCTCCTCTTTCTCTCTCGCTCTCTAATTTACTCTCTAAATAAACTGTATTTTCTAATCAAAAAAATAAATGTTTCACAGCAAAAATATTGAGATCTTTTTAACCCAGCACATTCTTCATCACAATGAAGATAAAGGTGAAGGGCAAGGAAGTAGATACAATGTACTCCCGGGTAAGATTTTCTTGAAGAATCCTTCATTACAAATGAGTCACTCTTGGCTCGCAGAGAATTCTCTTTCATGAAAATCATCATCGCCATCTACACGTTCTGGATTACTGCTGGTGAGGTCACACACAAGCAAGGACCGGGGCTGTTTGTGTCTCCTCAACCGTGAATGAAACGTACATCCTGCCTGCATCGCCAGGGCTTACAAAGGTCCCGTCAGTCTCTTGTGGAGGCATCCTGCCCTGTGGGACGCTGTTAGACATCGCTTCCCTTCGCCCTAGCCCAGCTCCCGGCTTCCCTTCCTCAGCTCACCATCGGGTAAGCTAGGAAGGGAGGGCATGTGGTCGGAGACAGCCCAGCACCAGAGCCTCAGAAAAGCAAACATGGTGACCCTGGGACGTGCTGTAGCACATTCGCCACGACAGCCCCCTTGAAGCTCACCATTCTGCACATTCAGTACCTGCTAGACAACAACAGCACAAGCAAGAAAAAAGGCTGGAACAAGGGTCAACATCACAATGTCAAATAGCGTGGAGGTGTAGGAAGAATTCACTAACTGGTCACCCAGAAACGGACTGTCATCCATGAACAAGGTGAAAGCAGCTATAATAAGCCACCACACTGTCTGCTGGAAATTTGTCAAGATCTCATTGGGATATTCTCCACTGGACAGCCTGTTGTGGAAGGTCAGGAATTAAAGGCCCACAAATGGCACCTGAAACAAAATGTATTGACCAAAAAGCCAGTGATGTTGACACAAAGATGCTCAGGATATCTGTGCAAAATACACTATCCCTGCGGAGATTAGCCACACACAGTGTAAACATCAATGCAAGAGAGTAGAATGTGGTCACATGTCCATCTGAAAAATCTCCAACCATTTTCATTTGGTCTTTTATCTATCTTTTCTTAAGGTGGAATGGTAGATTGCACAGAAAGAACTGTCTCTTCTTGCCTTCCTTTGGATTTTTACACTTGACATGAAATGGAAACAGTGCATCCACCTGCTTGCTAATGAGATAAAGCCTGTAAGGAGATTACTTCTCTCTTACTGAGAGCCCAGAGGACATCTCACACCTGCCCAAGGGTCACCTTGATTATAACGTACACCCAGTCTAGCCTCCGGGGAAAAATCTTTCATTTGTGCCACAAACATTTGCTTAGGCTGAAAAGAAAAGCAAGCTCTAAACTGTCAAAATCTTCAAAACCAATACAATTGCACAACAGACAGGGAGTCCCAAGTCTTGGTGCAGGCTTAATAGTTTCAGAAGTATACATGCCACAACCTTACAACCTTTCATGTGGAAATTCAGTCACTCTGAAGATAGCAAAATGTTGCCTAAAACAAAAGTAAAACTGTATTATTCAAATTCTACAAGACTAGATAAACATGAAGGAAATTTTAAAAATAAACTTTCAGTCAGGGTGTGGTGGCTCAGACTGTAATCCCAGCACTTTGGGAGGCCGAGGCAAGGATTGCCTGAGCCCAGGGATTCAAGAACAGCCTGGGCAACTTGGTGAGACCTCGTCTCTACAATAAATCACACACACAAAAAAACTAGCCTGATGTGGTGGTATGCATCTGTAGTTCCAGCTACTTGGAAGGCTGAAGCGGAAGGATCACCTAAACCCAGCAGGTTGAGGCTGCGGTGGTCATGAGTGATAAGAGTGAGACCAACTCAAAAAAAAACTGTCAAATGATGATTTTGGTAAGTCTATACCATTTGTGCTTCTGAAGTTGTGAAAGTTTATATAAGCCTTAAGGACACCCTGTCCACCAGACTCAGACATGCCAGACTTCAACTTTGAGTCTTATGTGTTAAAAATGTCATTTTTAGATAGCACTGGACCTACATAATACTCCCCCCCTTCCCATTCCCTGGCTCCCCCGCTCCTGCCCAATGCCAGGCCCCAGTGCAGTCAGCGATTCTGTAGGCCTTTCTTCTCGAGACACAGAGATGTTCAAAGAGAAAAGCAAGCAGAAAGCAGTGTTCTTGGACTGGTTGTGCACACGCTCCAGCTCTCAGCCCGGGTGACTCGGTTTACACAACTCAGCAGACATTTACGGACTGCTGAGTGTGCCTCAGGTGCTGTGTTGTCCAGATACACCTGGGTGCCCTTGCTCAATGTCATCCAGGCCCTCTGTGTGTGCTTCTGGTTGCCTCTATCTGTGTGGTCAGTTGACTGAGCTCTTATCACACGCCACAGCCAAGAAAAAGATGACAAGGGCCTGAACAATAGAACATATGATCACCAGCACACTACAAAGTCGCATCCCACCTATGATCACAACTGCACCCCACACCTCCACGACAGCTACGATCACACCACCACCATCTGAGAGCGAAAATCGAGGTTCAGGTTAAGTGATCGGTCAGAAGTCACAGGAGACAGCAGAGGCAGGCTCAGAGGCTGGGGAAAAGCCCAAGAAGCTCCTGCCCTGCCTCCTTCTAAACTTGCTGTGCCCTTCTGATTTGCTTGGCCACTACTTGGCATTTGGACCTTGACAGTCAAAGACTAAAAAACAAAACGGTCTACAAGATGACCTTCCATTTATAAGTATTAGAACCCCGAGTTTTAATTCTAAAGCCAGCCGCCCTGAGAAAGGAAACCACCCATGTCACAGGAGAGGCTGTCAGGTGCTGGACAGCAATGCTGAGTTGAGGGACAGCAGCCATTGGTCAATAAAGGGTTGGGAACTTATGAAAGACTCTTGGGCCCCTTGGTCTTAACAAGATGGCCACCATGTTTTGTTGGAGGGGGCTTGGACTCAGTGATAGGGGATGTGTGCTGCAGCCTGCATTTGCTAAAGCCAGAAAGGTCACTAAGAACTATATGATCTCAAGGCACCTTAAATTCCCAGAATCTGTAAAATGGGTCTAATATCAAACTCAAAGCTTTGTGCGGAAAATTATGTAAGATACTAGAAGTGAAAGCTTCATCCTTACTCAACTGTAGAAAGGTTTCCTTGCTGTCTATTAGTTTGCACTTCAATGCTATTGCACTCAGACCAATGTTCCTTTAAATATGACCGCCAACCTATCCACCTATCTTTATAAATTCACTCCAGCCTCCTCTGGCTCCTCACCCCATGAGCGCCTACTCTACCACCCTGTTTTCCGAAAACAATGTGCCCTTAGGTTGGATTTTGGGATTGGGCTTTGAATGTTTTTTAACCTTCCTCCTTCTACATCTTTGTATCTCTTGTTTGCAAAAGCAATATTCACTATTCTTAAAACATGCTCATACACACACTGACCTGCACCCCGTTATCTCCACTAACAAAACAGCCCACCTGGGGGCTCAGACTGGCAACTCCAGCACATTCCCCAATGAGCAAGCCACAGTCCCCTTTGAACTTCAAATTCTTCCATCTGTGAAACAGGGACTGGTTGTGCCAACTAGACAAGACTCAAGCCCTTTCTGGGAGTAGAAAATTCTGAGAACCCATGAGTATGGCACAAGAGAAGGACAAATCATACCTTGTCCGTTATCCTGCCTAAATCTTTAAAAGTGAGGCTGGTGAGGGTTCCAATGTGTACTCACACTGAGTGGACCTCTCCCTTGGTCTTTTCAAAAGCCCTAGGAAGTAGGCGCACTTCTTTACGCTTTACGGATAAGCAAACTGAGGCTTAGAGAAGTGAAGCCTCCAGTTCCAGTCTCCCCCACCCCGCCCACTGCATCACCCGTGCTGCTTTAAACAGCATCCCTTCACGCCATCACTACTATGCGCCGGCACTACGGGGGAGCCCGGGGCGCAGTGTGAACAGATCCCAAGAAGGCCCCCTCTGAAGGCCAGTCAGGCTTGCAAACGCCCACCCCCGCCTCATTCTCCTCCCTCTCGAGCAGAAGGTGCAGCTGAAAATCCTAACATTTGCAGAGCACCGATGAAGTGCCAAGCCCTCTCGTAGGGTAACGCGTTTTCTGCCTGTGTGATCCTCATCAGTCCTCCTGGTTAGGCTCTGTAGTATTCCCTTTGGACAGCTGGGGAAACCGAGGCACAAAGAGCTGAAGAACCGTGCGCTAGCCGGGCTCGGTGGCTCAGCCTGTAATCCCGCGCCTTTGGGAGGCTGAGGTGAGTGGACTGCCTGAGCCCGCGGGTTCGAGACCCGCCTGGGCAGGCGAGACCTCATCTCTACAATAAATCAAAAATCAGCCGGACGTGGTAGTGCGCGCCTGTAGTTCCAGCTACTTGGAAGGCTGAGGCGGAAGGACCGCCGGAACCCAGCAGGTCGAGGCTGCGGTGGCCGGGAGAGGCCACTGCACTCCAGTCTGGGTGACAGAGTGAGATTCCAACTCAAAAAAAAAAAAAAAAATCGTGCGCTAGATCACACATCCAGTGAGTGGCAACCCAGACTCACACGCAGCTATGGTGGTCCCAAGTCCGTGCGGCCGACCACTACGCCCGTCCCAAGGCCTCCTCCTCGGGCACCGCGCTTCCCAAGGCTCAGAGAGGGCCCGTCTCCCACGTGCAGCAAGCCTGAGACCTGGCCTGGAGGCGACCACCCCTCCCGGTCTGGTCAGGCCCGGGATGGGAGGCGGTCCCAGGGCGCGGGGCTTTCAGCTGAAAAACCGGGACGAGCTGCTCCTCCCAAGCCCAGGACCTCTGGCCCTCGCCGGCGCACGAACCCCGTCTTCCTCTGCGGGACTCGTGGGGGAAATGCAGGCCCCGCCGCTCCGCCCCGCCCCTACTCACGCTCGGCGCCCCAGCCCCCAAGTCGGACCTCCGGGCCGCCGCCTCTCGCCTCTCGGCCAGCGCCCGCCAACGGTTTCAACCCGCCGCGGGGAGCACGTGGAAGCGCCGCCACCCGCCGGCGCCGCAGCCGCAAGTTCCCGGGCTTCCTGGCGCGGAACTCACTTCCGAGCCGCGCAACGCGCCTGCGCAACGCGGCCACGCCCCCCGGCGGAAGTGAGGCGGCC